GATTTGAATAAAACAAAATGCTCAGTGAGCGCTTAGTAGTAATAGCAGCTAAAAGCACAAAAAGGCAACCATAATAAAACCTCATAAAATGCTAAAAAAAAATCCAGATAAATGATATCAGTCCAAAGGATAAGCTGAATGATCATCCCAGTATGTACAACACTGTGTAAAATGGTGACCGTTTGTGATAAGTGATGGATACAGGAGATAATGGTGACTGCACATTCCAGGTGGCGAGGTGATAGAATGGTTAAAATACGCACTCACCAGATGCGTATCTTTATATACTTATATAATCAATAAACAGTGGTCCCCCTCATGGGATGGATGAGCTGCACCGCTTATAACGGACTCTCCCCCTCTTGGTATTGGTCTGGTCTGGTTAGTGGAAGTCACTCCTGGGATATCCCCGAATACCACCGTGGAAACCTCTCAGGTATACAGCTTGGCTGAATTGTACTGGACCTGGTGTGTTCCTCTGGTAGTGGTAGGCTGATGTCAGCAGTGTGGGAATACTTCCTATGCCTTGGAGTATGGGCTCGTACATCGATGTAAAGGAGGCCACCGAAACGCGTCCAAGGGGCCATAGCGCCGTGACGTCCAGCCACCAGCTCCTGTTATAGGTCCGGTGGCCTCCTTTACATTCTACCACCTCGCCACCTGGAATGTACAGTCACCATTATCTCCTGAATCCATCACTTATCACAAACTGTCACCATTTTACACATTGTGTTGTACATACTGGGATGACTCCTTCAGCTTATCCTTTGGCCGGATATCATTTATCTGGATTTGTTTTTAGCAATGCACTTTCTTTTTCAGTGTTTTTGATTTGAGTTTTTCTGTATTTTTTTTTTTTTTTTTTTTTCGTTTTTTCTTTTGTTTTTAATATGCAGTTTGTATTCCCCCCTGTTGTTTACCATCACCAGTCCAGTTGAATTTGACTAAAACTAGGTAAAGACATTTTGCAGCTGCTTCAGTTCTAATGAGGTCGGGAAGGTGCCGCAGCATTTATATCCACACTGATAACTCGATCTTCATTCCAATGCCCATGGAATGTACCAAGGCAGATGCTAATTGTTCAACAGGATAGGAGGGTGTGAACGTTTTGTGTTTTGTTTATATAATCCCATCCCTTTCTTCCGTCTTGTAAGAAATGTTAATCCTTGGATTTAAATGGAGAACAGTGCAAATTGTTAGGCTAGAGATGTTAAAGCCAAATTCTATGCCACCATGTGTAGGGAAGGGTGTTCTAGTTTCACATATTATTTATTTATGGTACTTATATAGCGCCGTCAATTTACGCAGCACTTTACATACATATATATATATATATATATATATATATATATATATATATATATATATATATATATATATATATATATATATATATATATATAGTACATTCACATCAGTCCCTAACCCTCAAGGGGTGTACAATCTAAGGTCCCTAACTTGCATTCATACATACACATACTAGGGCCAATTTAGACTGGAGCCAATGAACCTAGCAGCATGTCTTTGGAGTGTGGGAGGAAACCGGAGTACCCGGAGGAAACCCACGCAGGCACAGGGAGAACATGCAAACTCCAGGCAGGTGGAGCCGTGGCTGGGATTCGAACCAACGACCCTTGTACTGCCAGGCGGAAGTGCTAACCATTTGGCCACTGTGCCGCCCAGTTTCACATAAAAAGCCTTTTTCACATCTTGTAAACAGGTTGTCCTCCGTCTAGTATGTTCATCGCACTGTTGTGTAGTGCACATTCTTATTGTATGATATACACTGTATAATATGGATGAGACACTGTTGTCTGACATTAACGTATTGTCATCACATGGTAAGGGTGGGTGGAGGTGTGGGCAGAATAGACCACTGACTATCAATCTACCGTAAACCAACATCTTGGATTGGGACAGATCTCAGAGGGTTCCAGAAACCTTCTTATAGGTTTGCCTTTACCTTCGGGACTGCATTTCTTCCACCATGACCATTTTGAGGAGTCTTTGGTTCTGACGCAGAAATGTTTCCTTTTATATTATTTAGTCCAGTGTTTTTCAATCTTTTTTTTTCATTCGGGGTGCCCTTGAAAAGTATTTTCAATCCTGAGGCACCCCAGTCTAAGGCTTGGTTCACATCACTGCAAATCACGGAATGTGCGCAAAATCATGCACGTTCCTGACACGCAAACACGTTGCTCTTTAGCAGACATGCAGGGGTGTCATTAATTCTTATGGTATCCCCATGTATTGGCAAATGTGGTGAGCTTACAACATGATTTAAAAAAAGATGGGTCAGGGAATTGTTTCCACGCATCTCTGTGGGGCAGCCCATTGCAATGAATGTGCTGCCTTGCACATAGCCTCACAGATGTGAACCAAGGGCTTATTCACAGGAGGTTGGAGAGTGGTAAAACCACACACTTCAGCTGCATTTTTACCATCCCCAACTGCTCCCCCTTATAGAGGCAGCAGCTGGAAGTATACACATTATGTGGCTGCAACTGGAAGTATACTGCCAGGTGAATGGGGCAGCACTGCAACCACTCCGCAACTGTGAGCATGGCACATGGTTGCGGCATGGTGATGCTGCATTTAGGGGTTAAAACAGGCAGTGAGAGGCAACATATTGTCTCTTCACTGCCTGTCACATGCCTCTGAAAAGTGATCTGAGAATGGATCATTTTTCGGAGGAGTGTTGGTCCTTGCTGGTATTTTATACAAGCCCTAAAAAAAATCAGTTCTAATCCTACATTACACAGGGGGGCCAGGATTAAAAATGTACATACAGGCACAACAGCACACACGTACAGTATATATACACGTACGTGTGTGTGTACACTATATTGCCAAAAGTATTGGTCGGCCTGCCTTTACACGCACATGAACTTTAAATGGCCTCCCAGTCTTAGTCCATAGGGTTCAATATTGAGTTGGCCCCGCCCTTTGCAGCTATAACAGCTTCACCTCTTCTGGGAAGGCCATCCACAAGGTTTAGGAGGGTGTCTATGGGAAGGTTTGACCATTCTTCCAGAAGCACATTTGTGAGGTCAGGTACTGATGTTGGATAAGAAGGCCTGGCTCACAGTCTCCACTCAAATTCATCGCAAAGGTGTTCTATCGGGTTGAGGTCAGGACTCTGTGCAGGCCAGTCAAGTTCCTCTACCCCAAACTCCCTCATCCATGTCTTTGTGGACCTTTCTTTGTGCACTGGTGCGCAGTCATGTTGGAACAGGAAGGGGCCATCCCCAAACTCTTCCCACAAAGTTGGGAGCTTGAAATTGTCCACAATGTCTTTTGGTTTGCTGACACCGTAAGAGTTCCCTTCACTGGAACTAGGGGGCCAAACCCAACCCCTGAAAAACAACCCCACACCATAATCCCCCCTCCACCAAACGTTATACCCGGCACAATGCAGTCAGGCAAGTACCATTCTCTTGGCACCCGCCAAACCCAGGCACGTCCCATGAATTTCCAAACAGAGAATCTTCACTCCAGAGAACATGTCTAAACTGCTCTAGAGTCCAGTGGCGGCATGCTTTACACCACTGCATCCAACGCTTTGCATTGCACTTGGTGATGTAAGGCTTGGATGCAGCTGCTCGGCCATGGAAACCCATTCCATGAAGCTCTCTATGCACTGTTGTGCTCATCTGAAAGCCACACAAAGTTTGTAATTCTTTAGCTATTGACTCTGCAGACAGTTGGCGACTTCTGCGCACTGTGTGCTTCAGCATGCGCTGACCCCGCTCTGTCATGTTACGTGGCCTACCACTTGGTGGCTGAGTTGCTGTTGTTTCCAGTTGCTTCCACTTTGTTATAATCCCACTAACAGTTGACCGTGGAATATTTAGTAGTCAGGAAATGTCACGGATGGACTTATTACACAGGTGACAACCTATCATGGACCACGCTTGGAGTCACTGAGCTCCTGAGAGCGACCCATTCTTTCACCAATGTTTTGTAGAAGCAGTCTGCATGTCTAGGGGCTTGATTATATACACCTGTGGCCATGGAGGTTATTGTAGCACCTGAATCCAATGATTTGGAGGGCTGGCCTAATACTTTTGGCAATATAGTAGTGTGTATATATAAACAAACGAAACACACACACATTTGCACCCTTTTAAAATCAGCAGTACTGTACCCTTTCTTCTACTGGGTACTGCACAGTAGGGGGAGGCAGAGAGCAGAGCACACGCTCGTAGATGGTGATCTTGCTTTCCTAGGTATAATTTTGCAGTCAGTGCTGATTTTACACTTTGGCTGGGGACCAGGGAGCTCGGTCTCATGTGTCAGCCGCAGTACCCCATCTGAAAAAGGCTGATTTAGTGTACAGACTGCTGCTGTTGCACCTGAATTGTGCAGTTACACAGCGGGGAGATGATATTCCAAGTATCAGAGAGAGCCAGTGAATTCTTCAGCTCACCCAGAACTGAAATGCCAAAACTAAGGAACTCCAGAGATAGGGTAAAAATGGCCAATAAACACAAAATAGAGGCTAACTTTTTTTTTTTTTTTTTTTAACTAGTTTTGTTCTGCTATACATTGAAGGTTCCAATCTACATATCTCCTTCCTGTGGATGGAGTTAAACTAAACCTGTGCGGTTGTGCAGTGAGCACCTATTTACTAGGTTATTTACTAGGAGAAGGTCCTGTCAAAATTGTTAAAGAAAAAAATTAAAATCTTCATAGGCTGCTAAAGTTGTAGGCTGTGTCCTGTACAGGTCAAGCTTTTAACGTGATGTGTAACCCCACAAATATGGAGGCTTTTGAAGATGGTGGGGGTCAGGGGCCAAGTTTGCCATTTATAGGCTAAAAGGGCATTCTGTATTACAGCAAATTTTTGTTCTATATCCAGAAATCCTTTTTACCCATTTTAGTAGTGTTGAGTATTTATAAAGGACACCTTCCAGTTGACTTGTTTAGTTCCATGTCATATATTGCATTTATGTGCTGTAGCCTGTGCCCTTACATTCCTTTATTTTTATTTCTCCAAGGCTTAAGAACAATTGGTGTTATAACCAAACTGGATCTGATGGATGAGGGAACTGATGCCAGAGATATCTTAGAGAACAAGCTGCTACCGTTACGGAGAGGTAAGGAGGTCCTCTACGGGTGAAAGTGACATGGGGTGACTGAGCTCTGAAATCTGATGAGAACGGTTAGGGTTCATGCACACCGTTTTTAAAAAAAAAAAAAAAAAAAATCATCAGTGCTCTTTGCAGAAAAAATACAAATTTTGAGCCTTTTTTTAAAATTCTCCTAGATTGTAATCTCTAACGAGCCGGGTTCTCTGATTCCTCTTGTACCAAATTGTATTGTAACAGTAATGTCTACCTTCATTTTGTAAAGCGCTGAGCAAACTGTTGGCGCTATATAAATCCTGTATAATAATAATACTTTTTTTTTTCTTATACTAGCTTTTAGTAGCTTTATATTTCTGCCAGAAACCCACTTTCAAAAATGCAAAACAGAAGGGTTTTTTTTTTTCTCTGCCTTTAACCACTAACCTACAGGGCACTTATACTCCCTTCCTGCCAAGGCCAATTTCCAGCTTTCAGCGCTGTCACACTTTGACAATTGCGCGGTCATGCAACATTGTACCCATATGAAACTTTTATTTTTTTTGTGACAGAGCTTTCTTTTGGTGGTATTTCATCACCTCTGGGATTTTTATTTTTTCTTAAACCAAAAACCACTGAAAATTTTGAAAAAAAAAAAAAGTTTTTTCTTAGTTTTTTTTGTTATACAATTTTGTAAATAAGTGATTTTTCTCCTTCACTAATGTGCGCTAATGAGGCTGCAGTGATGGGCACTGATAGGCTGTACTGATGGACACTGATAGGTGGCACTAATGGGCACTGATGAGGAGGCACTGGTAGGTTGCACTGATGGGCATTGACAGGCATCACTTATGGGCACTGATAGGCGGCACTGAAAGGCAGCTTAGATGGGCACTGATATGTGGCATTGATGTGCACTGGTATGCGGCATTGATGTGGCACTGATGGGCACTGGCACTGATGAGCACTGACAGGTGGCACAACTGGGGCCACACTGATCATCAGGGCACACTGATCATCAGTGTACATGTCTCCTCCGCCGAAAGCCGATTACCGGCTCTCCTCTCCTCTCGAGCTGTCAGCGTGACAGCTCGAGAGGAGAGAAATGCCGATAACCGGCATTTCCGTGTTTACATGTGATCAGCTGTGTCCAAGGGACACAGCGGACCGGCGATCGCCGCGCATGCGCACTCCCTGAGCCGCGCATGCGCAGTGAGAATGGTAGGACGTCATATGACGTCCTATCAGATCGAGAGAACCACCTTGCGCCCGTCATTGTACTATAGGGCGGGCGGAAGGTGGTTAAACGCTTAGCTTTAAATATGCCTCTAAATGACCCAAAGTGCATGGACACATAGGGTAGTTGCTTCTACAGGCAAAATTCTAAACTCCTCTAGGAGCAGTGTGTGGTTGTTCCTGTTTGATTTTTTTTTTTTTTTTTTTTTTTTTTTTAGCCTGTGTGCATGGACCCTTAAAGTGAAGCTCCATCTTGAAAGCTAAATACACAGATATAATCCATAGTTATAGGTAGTCTGTTTTACCTACTGAAAGATTTATTTTCCTTATCTTACATTATGGGACAAAGCAGAAGTATTCAGGTACATTGGGTTATCCTGCTTCCTTCAGAAGACTGGACACTGGCAAAACAAAAGCTGTAAGGGCAGCCCAGAATAAACCCTCCCACTCTTGTGCAGCGTTTAGTTTCTTTAGGAAAACAAATGTCTTCTCTTCCCTAAGTAAAGCAAATAATTTTCTATTCTCTTTTTATCAAGAATCTTCTGTTGCTGCCGAGCCTCTGGGGCTCATATTTGCAGTTTCTGGATCCACTACTACTTGGTACTAAGGCCCTGCCAGCAAGAAGCGGTGCAGACCTTAGGGCACTGGACCTTGCGTTAGGTACTTGGCATGAAGTGCAGTGTTTTAAGTTAGCCACGGGGTCTTCTGCAGGTCCAGACCTGTGCCCCACTTGTCTGGGGGAGCCCTATCCCTGAAGACCCCTTAGGGGGTTATTCCCACTGGGGAGGGCTTAGACTTGCTAAAGGGGCATATATGCACTTAGATCCTACCTGGCACTCTACAGCTTGCCTGCAATTTGGGGGGCCGTGGGGTGCTTTGCAGACCATCGCTGCAATGGGTGCAGGCCTTGCATGTATGGGAGCCTGATGGGGGGACTTTAAGTCTATCTTGTTGCACCCCCTTAGGTGTTAAGACTTTTCCAGTTGTGGTGAGGTGGCAGACCTACAGGTGAAACTCGAAAAATTAGAATATCGTGCAAAAGTTCATTTATTTCAGTAATGCAACTTAAAAGGTGAAACTAATATACAAGATAGGCTCATTACATGCAAAGCAAGATAGTTCAAGCCGTGATTTGTCATAATTGTGATGATTATGGCTTACAGCTCATGAAAACCCCAAATCCACAATCTCAGAAAATTAGAATATTACATGCAATCAATAAAACAAGGATTGTACATAGAACAATATCGGATCTCTGAAATGTATAAGCATGCATATGTACGCAGTACTTGGTTTGGGCCCCTTTGGAGCAATTACTGCCCTCAATGTGGTGTGGCATGGAAGCTATCAGCCTGTGGCACTGCTGAGGTTCTTCAATAGTGGCCTTCAGCTCTTCTGCATTGTTCGGTCTCATATCTCTCATGTTTCTCTTGGCAATGCCCCATAGATTCTCTATGGGGTTCAGGTCAGGCGAGTTTGCTGGCCAATCAAGCACAGTAACCCCACGGTCATTGAACCAGGATTTGGTGCTTTTGGCAGTGTGGGCAGGTGCCAAGTCCTGCTGGAAAATGAAGTCAGCATCCCCATAAAGCTCATCTACGGAAGGAAGCATGAAGTGCTCCAAAATCTCCTGGTAGACGACTGCATTGACCCTAGACTTAATGAAGCACAGTGGACCAACACCAGCAGATGACATGGCCCCCCAAATCAACACAGACTGGAAACTTTACACTGGACTTCAAGCATATTGCAGTGTGTGCCTCTCCATTCTTCCTCCATACTCCGGGTCCTTGGTTATCAAATGAGATGCAAAAGTTGCCCTCATCAGAAAAGAGGACTTTGGACCACTGAGCAACAGACCAGGTCTGTTTTTCTTTAGCCCAGGTAAGACGCTTCTGATGTTTGTTGTTCAGGAGCGGCTTGACAAGAGGAATATGACATTTGAAGCCCATGTCCAGGATCCGTCTGTGTGTGGTGGCTCTTGATGCACTGACTCCAGCCTCAGTCCACTCCTTCTGAAAGTCCCCAACACTTTTGAATGGCCTTTTCCTGACAATCCTCTCCAGGCTGTGGTCATCCCTGCTGCTTGTGCACCTTTTTCTTCCACACTTTTCCCTTCCACATAACTTTCTATTAATGTGCTTTGATACAGCACTTTGGGAACATCCAACATCTTTTGCAATTACCTTTTGAGGCTTTCCCTCCTTATGGAGGGTGTCAATGATGGTTTTCTGTACAACTGTCAGGTCAGCAGTCTTTCCCATGATTGTGATTTCTACTGAACCAGACTTAGAGACCATTTAAAGGTTCAGGAACCCTTTGCAGATGTTATGGCTTAATTATCTGATTAGAGTGGGACACTTTGAGCCGAGAATATTGCACCTTTTCACAATATTAAAATTTTCTGAGATTGTGGATTTGGGGTTTTCATGAGCTGTAAGCCATAATCATCACACTTATGACAAATCACGGCTTGAACTATCTTGCTTTGCATGTAATGAGTCTATCTCATATATTAGTTTCACCTTTTAAGTTGCATTACTGAAATAAATGAACTTTTGCACGTTATTCTAATTTTTTGAGTATCATCTGTAGAATGTTATAGTGCTTTGGAGTTGGCTCCCAAAATCTATTTTGGCTGAAGTTGCATGGCCTATTTTCAACCAGGTGTTCATCAAACAGTGTGCACGGGCCATGCCTGTACTGCCTGAGTGCCAGTGCTTCTTCCTGGTTACTTAGCCTCACTGTCATCCCATCAACCCTAGAAGCTGCACCACCAAACAGGAGTAGGGCTCCTGCTGTCACATAGTGACAGTTGCAGATGGCCAGATGACCTTCCCTACTCCTGCTGTTTGTGATAAACCCTTGTGAGGTCTACGCTTTATACATTTGTTGTATGTTGGATTTAAGAGGAATGGTCCTGTGGGCCCTCTTTGTTCCTGCTCCTCTAACAGCTCCAGGGTAGCTTGCATGGGCCTAACACTGACAACCTGGACATTTGCCCCCTGCTGAGGTTCACACCCTCCATGGAGGCTTCCTGAGCTCCCTCAGTAATTCCCTGGAAATATGTTTCTGCACCTATGTTAGATTTTTTAGTTTAAGTACATTTTAAATGTCCAGAAATCCGTGCTGAAAACAATTCATGGTTTGACGTATTTGGGCATTATCTTAGACATGGCCCCATTACCAAGGTTTTCCTTTCCTTTCCCCAGGACACATCGTAGTCTCTCCCAGGTTTAGACTCTGCAGTCTAGGAGCCACTTGACTTTCAATTAATGATGCTGTCCTCAAGGCAGTTCCATATGCCAAGTTTCTCAACATTCAGCCAGCATGAGCAGCTGGGTGCCATCACTGGATTATGCCATATGCCTAACCAGCATTACAAGGCTTGTCCTGAAGTGGTGGCTTACAAATTCAACACTGAAATTGGGGATGTCCTTCCTCTCAACAGTTAGGAAGGTGCTCATGACAGATGACAGCTTTTTGTGCTGAGGAGTCATCCTAGGTACCCTCTTGGTACAATATACTAAGCTGTCGGTGGAAGCTTGACTCCTGATCAATATTTTGAATCTCCTCTTTAATGCTGGACAGACCTGTCATCTGACCAGGATTCGGTCAGACAATGCTAAGGTAGGGGCTTACATCAACCATCATGGAGGCACACAATCAGGGGCGGACTGACCATTCGGGTACTCGGGCTCTGCCCAAGGGCCTGGGGTCACTGTGGGCCCCATGAGATGCCCCTGGTATCTTTCATAGGTTTTTTTTGGCTGTGGTTTGAGTGTGGCTGAGGACACGGGAGCCCCATGAGTTGTCAGTCCGCCCCTGCACACAATGTAATGAGAAACATCTCTAGCCCCTGCATGCAAGCATTACTCTATAGGAAGCCTCAAGAGAAAGAGCTACTCTGAAATAGGAAAGCTGGAGCATGGCACCAGATTAAACCAGAATATAGGCAAGGAACAAAAGATAAAGAAGCCGCGTGCTGCTGAAAGTGCTGAGGGTTTAATATCACTTTGTTTTACCATGTGTATGTTTAGGCCTCAGCTGAAGTTGGCTCCAGTCATGAAGTACCTCAGATGGCTCTGTAGGCTCTATTGAGCCACCTATGTTAACCTTTTGGCTTTTGTCGGCCTGTTAGCCTCATTTTGCACTGTTTTAAACCTAAATCACCAGCGCCAAATTTTCTACAAATTAGTACTAAATATACAAATAAATGCTGCTGCTCATCAGTGCAACCCACACCAAAAAAAGTATTTAAAAGCTTTTTTTACAATAAATACCATTCCCAAAAAAAATATAAAACAAAATAATAAAAATTATAAGTCCCACTCCAAATAAGTGACAAAAATTATATCATAAAAATTATAAAAAACACAAAAACTCTTGAAAAGTCCTCTTTCCAAAGAGATAAATCGTGCTTCCACCAAAAATGGCGCTCAAAAAATTATACCGCACTCACCAGATATTGGTGAAAAAACGCCTTTAGGGTTTTTTTTGGGATCCTAGACCCAGTAAGTATGCCTCCAGATATCCCTGGATTTTTTCTCCACTCCAAACCACAATGTAGCCAAACTCCAGGATCAGCAGACACCACTCTCCAAGAACAAGCTCAGAACATTGTAGGGAAAAAAAAATATATAGCATAATACTGCAACACTTGGTTAGCTCAATTTTCAAATACCAAGCCACTCACATTGTTAATGATCAAAACCAACATTTTATTGCATTTATATGAATCCAAAACACCACATCACCAGGGTAATTTCCTGAGATCCCACGGTCAGCAACAGATGACAACACAGAGAATTTCCCATACACAAGATGACCCCCGGGAATGCTGCACGCCGGCGCGCCTACCACTCACTGGAAATGATGTATTACGTATGGCGGTGGAACCGGAAATGTGTCAACGCGTTTTGACCCTCCTCCAGGGTGTTTTCACAGACCAGTTGGTCTGCTTTTGTATATCTTGGTGAGCCAGTATATACTCATTCTGTGTCCCGCAATGTACAATTAAGAAAAAAGGATTTTTGACTTATTACCAATTCTTTTTCTTGGAGTACGTTACAGGACACGGGTCCTCCCTTCTATTCTTATGATCCTCTACTACTATTGCTCTCTGACAAAACTAAAGCATGCTGGGAGTAGGAGGGTTTATACTGAATTGTCCTTACAGCTTTTGTTTTTCCTGTTTCCAATCTCCTGAAGGTAGCCGCATAACCCAATGTATAGAACACTCATCCTGTGTTCCATAATGTACTATAAGATGAGGACTTTATGGTAAGTCAGTCTCATTTTGTTGATTCAGCCTTGTGATCAGTCCTTCTACCACACTGTATATCTAGGCAGCTGACTGCATTGTTTAAAGATCATAACACTGCAATTTTCTGAGCACTGGACTGCCAGTGGTCATCACCTCACTTTAAAAATCACATAAAATGGAGTTCAACTTTAATAACATGGCTTTTCCCAGGGAATTCTGGAAAGTTTCTCTCAACCGTTGCACTGCTGTCATATGCTGCTGTGAATGACACGGGCACCCTTTTCTCATAGGCTACATTGGAGTGGTCAACAGAAGCCAGAAGGACATTGATGGTAAAAAGGATATCCGAGTGGCTCTTGCTGCCGAAAGAAAGTTCTTCCTCTCTCATCCTGGGTACCGACACATAGCAGACAGAATGGGAACACCACATCTACAAAAAACACTGAACCAGGTATTGGGCTGCTTTCTGATATGCAGATCTGACAATGTGATATGTTACGAATACAGTGACCAAGGAGATGCTGCTGAAGGGTTGGGGGCTCTCTCCTGGGTGTGTTTTTGTGGTTTTGCTCTCTCCTGAAGGGTGGTGGGCAGTAGAAGCAGGGCTTGGTGGTGGTTATTCTCACTGAATGTTTAGTGAAATAGGTGGTCACTACAGTTTTGACAGTCAGAATGTCAGTCCAGTCCAAAGCGTGGAGTCCTGTGCTCTGCCTTCTCTCTTCTGTCTCCATTGTTTAATGCTGAATCACCTGCTCTGTAATTCTCTAAATGGCCAACGCTTACACTTTGCTTCTCCTCTTTCAGCAACTTACCAATCACATTCGGGAGACACTTCCTGCATTGCGGAGTAAACTTCAGAGCCAGATGCTTTCCCTGGAGAAAGAGGTTGAAGAGTACAAAAACTTCCGACCGGATGACCCCACAAGAAAAACAAAAGCTCTTCTCCAGTAAGTGGCAAAGCTGTCAGCATCTAGGTGGCGTTTAATTTATGTGCATGTGCCCTTTGCAGTGGCAGTGCTATGAGATCAGGTGGAAGGAGATTCAGATGCAATACAGTATCACATGATTAAAGACTTGCAAAATATATACAATATATTTAAAAAGGCGCAGCCACAGTTGCTTATTACCCAAAGCTCCTGTCTGGTTGTGATTTGTTGCTTTTCTTATTTAAAGCGGTAGTAAAGGTTTGTTTTTTGTTTTTTTGCTCACACTTTTAAAAATATGGCCCTCCCCGCAGTTTCAAGACATAATGTACTAGTATGCACCATTATGACACACCTACCTGCAAACAGAGTCCTCAAGCGCAGTGATGTCATGTTGCTCGCGGCGCTTCCTTCATACTTTGTGCCCAAACCGTCACTGCACATGCACCTGTGACCTCATCGGCAATTGCCATTCTGAATATCTCCTAAACAGTGCACATTTAGGAGATACTGATTGTACCTACAAGTAAGCTTGATTGTGAGCTTACAAATCGATGGGGGACTTTACTACCACTTTAAAGTATATGCAAACTAAACCATTCACTTATATTTGGCCCTTTTTTTTTTTTTTTAATATGTTAAAGTGGAAGTTCAGTAAAAATCTAGCTGAGGCTAATCCTACTCCCTCCCCCATTCTAAGACTATTCTATTTACTCTATGAGAGAAAAATGCTTTTACTTGTCTATTCTAAAGTCGCTCTGGTCCGGTCACATGATCATGTTCCAGCGCTGGCTTCAGTGTAGAGGAGGGGCTGCCGAAAACAGTTGCCCCATAGTAAGCCTATGAGTGATGTCACCACATAGGCATTTGTAGCTGTTGGGGATCTCTTCTCTTCACTGAAGCCACCGCTGGAGAGATCACGTGACCGGACCAGAGCAGCTTCAGTATAGGCAAGTATAAGCATCTTTTCTTTCATGGGGTAGATAGAATAGTCTTTGAATGAAAGGTTTAGCCTTGGTTAGATTTTGACTGAACTACTTTATAATTAAATTGTTTTGTTACATCTGTTTTAATAAGTGTACAAAAGTATCAGTCCTGCCAGAAATCTTGTGAAATGTGATAACTTCCTGTGCTCTTTCTGTTCTCTTATCAGGCTAGGTGACACTCCGAAAAGAAGTCCCTGCACTATATCGCAGGGACTAAAATCGCAGCTTGCACAGGAACCGACGTTCCCAGTACGGGTGCAATTTCCAGTGTGGGCACCGTGCCATTAGGATTAATTGCACCTGCCCGTGGGTCCTGAATTTTTCTGTGTGGGTGGTTGCGGCTGCCAGTATTTATGCGGGTCCTGCAGTGGCACCACCCGCATAAATGTGAACCTAGCCTTACATTGTTCTAAAGAAAAGCTCCCTCTTTTATATAGATGAAGAGAGATTTTCTGTAGTCTGGCAATGCTGCTTTTCCATAGGTAAAGTATAGTGAATGAGCATTGTCACCCTAGTATACAGTAGTATGTTACTGGCAGTATCACCAGGGAAAATAAAGAAGTCTAAAAAAAAAAAAAAAGAAAAACAATGCAGTAACCATATCTAAGGACTGTAAGCTGCAATATATTACATTTTTATAAACATTCTAATACCCTTGTAGGATGGTCCAGCAGCTGGGGGTGGATTTTGAGAAGAGAATTGAGGGCTCCGGGGATCAGGTAGACACCCTAGAGCTCTCTGGAGGTGCCAGGATAAACCGAATTTTCCATGAACGGTTTCCATTTGAGCTTGTCAAGGTATAGTATAATTTATTTAATGTTTTTAATTTTTATATTTTTTTAAACACATTTTTAATGTGGTGACCATGGCCTTATTGTCTTATGTGTAACATTGCAGTACATTATTGCTGTCTAAAAGATCCTCTTTATGCCTTGTTCATACAAGTTTTGAAGTAGAATTGTGGCCAGGCTATTGACATTCAAATATTTAAATATTCATAATGAGCTGTAAAATACACTTTAAAACATTCCCTCACTGATTTGTGTAGCTGCAGGCACTGTGGGCAGTTCATTCTCAAATTTCACAAGAGAAGCGGTGGAGTTAGCCTGTTCTTGGCATTCTGTTCTTTTTAGAGACTAAATGCTAGCAGTCTGCCAAATCACTACTGAAAGGAGGAAGCAAACTAAATAATGGTAGACTGTGTATAGGCCCGCCACAGTTCTGTTTTACCTCCACATAGCTGTAATGTGTGTATTTATAAAAGAAAAAAAAAAAAAGGGAAGGTGGTGGCTGTGTATTTCTGGAGTGCAGTTTTGAAATGTCACTTCAGAAAACCTACTTGGGAGGCCAGCACACATGCGAATGGCTGTGATCTGAGCTTTCATTGGATGGCTTGAATCAGATTCGTGATGTGCAAAGCCAATATATACCTTGTAATCATTATGAACCATTCATAGCCATCACAAATGTAAACTCTACTAGTGCAGTGGCGGACTGACCATTTGGAAACTCGGGGCGCTGCCCGGGGTCAGTAGGGGGCCCCATGAGATGCCCCTGGTACCTTTTTTTTCATAGGCTTTTTTAAGTTTGGGCAAGGACACAGGGGTCCCATGATCCCCTATTGCCTGGGGGCCCCATGAGTTGTCAGTCCGTCCCTGTTTATACCCTGTTCAGAGGGGTGGCAACGACTACTAAATACCTATGAATGAGCCCTTGGGGTATGTTTCAGCTCCAGTCTGAGAGTGTCAAACACAGATCTTAATCTGGCTATGGACGGATCGAATCTCAGCAGGTTCAGCAGGGACTGGCTGAGATTCGATCCATCTATGGGCAGGCTGGCTGTACTGAAGTCAGTTTGGGCAAGGACACAGGCCCCATGATCCCCTATTGCCTGGGGTCCCCATGAGTTGTCAGTCCGCCCCGTACTAGTGTTTACAAACATTTGGCCTGTTCACTTTAGAGGAAGCTCCTCTTCCTCCATTTGGGATAGGCTAAATGTTTGTAAACCCAGCAGGAAGGAGGATTGTCTGATTGGCTGTGGGGGCTCCTAAAATGCCACTGGCCACCAATGATATTGTAACTATATAATTGTGAGGTGGTTTTGAAGTACCACTGACCATCAGTGATTGTGGGATAATTTTTTTAAGGGAAATGAAATGGTAATAGTGAAGAAATGTGAGAGAACCCAAATTGTTGACCTTTTTTTTCATTTCATATAAAAAAAAAATGTAAAAAACCCCAGTGGCTGTTAGATACCACCAAAGGAAAATGCTATTTGTTTAAAAGAAAATGGTTATAAAATTAATTTCTGTACAGGGTTCCGTCTCCGAGAAATTTAGCCAAACTATCACGTTAGTGCAAATGGCCTGGTAGTAAACGGCATTTACAGGCTAGTGCTGAATTGGTTTATGACTAGCAGCGGCATGATACCTACACTTGCTGAAAGTTCCCCTGCCTTTCTGGGCAGTTGTACCGAAGGAAGGATTTGCTATTTTCTGCACTGAACTTTGTCTGTAAACCAGGCAGAACAGGGCTTAAAGATAAGGAGGTGCTGGATGCAGTTCGTTATCATAAGGTCATGGAATGAACATTCAAGATGTTTAAGTTTTTGCCTACCTTGTTTCATCCTGTAGCAGGAATGGACAAAATGTTTTTCAAATTCTGAGAGCTAGGAACACCTCAGCTTAGATCTCTATCCAATTCCCCAAGCATATATACACTGCTTAAAAAAATTAAAGAAACACTGAAAACACATCTCACAGAAAATGGGGTCCATCTTCCCATCATGGTGTGCAGTATAATGCCAAACAGACAAGGCCTAAGTGGACAAGTTTAAAGCCGAACTCCAGGTTTTGTATTTTTGTTTTGCCCAAGCTGGCCCAAATGGACGATTTCCTTTTAAACTGCTGTTGTCAGTGTTGTATAAACTGTAGCATCAGCTACATACAGTATACAGCACCGTGTTCTGGTAGCAGTCCAGTCTTGTTCCCAGAACAAAATCAAGTTGGGCATAGTGCTCCTCATTCACAGGAAACCTTGCAGTTTTTTATGAATGAATACAAGGCTTCCTCTGATCGGTTAAGGTCACATTTTCCACCTCAGCCAATCAGAGGATGCTTGGTATTTATTCGTAAAAATTCAAGGCTTCCTGTGAATGATGGAGCAGCTGTCAGCCTGGTTCAATTTTGTTTCAGGAACCCAACGAAAAGTCTCCATTTTACTGCTGGAACACAGCACAGTAATTTCTTAGTAAAGGAAATAGTTAACTTGGGCCAGCTTGGCCCAAACAAAATAAAGTAACACAAAACAAAAAAATAAATTGGAACATTTTTCTACTTTAGTTCCACTTTAAAGCTCCATGTGCACTGGCTTAAAAAACAGCCATTACTCATGGCAGAAAGATGCTAATTTTGAGCATTTTTTTTATTGTTCTAATGCTTAGCTGTGTTTTTAGCAGTTTTTTTTTTTCCCTGCCAGAAAAAATGCTTTTAAAAAAAAAAAACGCAAAACAGAAGGGATTTTTTTCTGCTGAGCTTAGAAAATGCTTCTAGACTACCTAATGTCCATTGAACACGTAGGATAACATTTGTTGCTCCTACAGCCAAAGCACCAAGCTCCTCTAGGAGCAGTATGTTTTTTTTATGTTTTTTTTTTTTTGTTTTTTTCTTAAACCAATGTGCATGGAGCCTAAGGGCAGGAGATCCTGGCAGCCAAGGCACTTTTGCTAGTTTCCACAGGCTCCTCTTGACTGAGATTTGTCCAGCCATGCTTTTTAAAACATGTATGTAGCTAAAGCTGTTCTATTATTCCTGTAACACGTTTTATTTTGTGGTTTCAGAATTTCTGTATTTATAGCGCCTTCCTTTACCCTCTCATCCACTTCCTATTAATATTTGATATCCGCTCATTATTTTGTAGAACAAGCATGCTGAACTGAATTTTTTTGGGATATATGTTGCCCTTGTTCTTCATTGGGGTTTTCAGCTACTTAAAAATTCTAAATTGAAAGAGGCCTTCAACGTGTGTAACCCTACTTTAATTCTTTTACAGGTCTTGTAAAATGTTTTATTGTGATTTTATTATGATATGTGTTTCCAAAATACAATAAATACGCACAATTATAGGAGGTAGCCACAAAATTAAATGATTAATTTAATTGGCCTGTGATGCTTAAACTGTTAGTAAAGTGCAAGTGCAACCCTTAGTAGAACTAAAGACAGGGCGTATTTACCACAAGGCAAACAAGGCATTTTCAGGGGGCAGCACCTTCCCCCCCAGAAGAAGGGATGGAAGAAGGGACTGTGTGCCATCGGAACCAGGTGGGATCCAAAAGAGCCTGCGGGCTGCTTGATGGTGTATGCAGAACCCGACTCTTATTCCTGGGGATGTCTGGAGATGTGAAGATGAGTGTCTCTCTTTCACCGTGGGGGGTGGTAATGGAAGGCTCTCCCGCAGGTGAGGGGCGGTAGTGGAAGGCTCTCCCGCAGGTGAGGGGCAGCAGGAGTGGTGTTGGTCAAATGTCAGGCTCTCTCCGCGGGAGGGATGGTGGTGTTGGCCCGTTTCCATGGAGGCAGACAATTTTTTTGTTGCCTAGGGCAGCACAAAACCTGCATACACCACGGACTAAAGACATTGGTGTTCTGGTACTGATTCTCAAACGGACGTATCGATCACATTTACTGTATTAATTTTCTCCTCCTCTTTTGTCTAAGGCTTCATGCACATGGACAATTAGCAGCTCTAGTGTGCTGATCCGTTTCATTTGTATTGGGCTGTATGCGGCACGTGCGGCTCCCTGGGCAGCATCAAGCACCAGGGATTTTACACCTCAGTGCACAGGAGCTGCTAATTGTCCATATGCATGAAGCCTTAGACAAAAGAGGAGAAAATTAATAAATGTGATAAATACGTCAGTTTGAGAATCAGTACCAGAACACTACGTTTCACTGGTACGTTTTTTGATGTGCAAGTTTGTGTAAGTTCTCATTGATATACATGTTTTCCTGTGTAAGGAAAGGAAGTGAGGAGGGGTTTATCCAACAGGGACACAACACAAAAATCATTTTTAAAGCGAAACCATCTTACTCTCTGGAATTCCTGCATTACATTTATCCAAATTCAAAACATTCTGTGCTGGAGATGTCATATTGGCTTTGTCTTCTGTGCCCCCATACCTTTCCCTACTAGCTTGAGATGAATACCTTAGTGAGCTGGCAGAGTTCTCCGTTCTATTTGCTGGGCTTCTCAATAACTGGACCTTTGAAAGCCTTTAAGAAAACTCTTCTCACTCATCTTAGCAGCAGCTCAGTGCTTAAAGGCTAAGTTCATCTTTTAAAAAAAAAAATAAAAATGCACATGATTTTGCAGGGAAAAAAAAGCGTTAATTTTTTTTTTTTTTTTTTTTACATTGCAGCCTGAAAAGCATTTCACCCACAATCAGTGGATTGTAGGTGCAGTGCCAGACTCTTGCAGACAATCAGTATAACTGTCTGCCCATACCTCTATATGGGCAGACAGTTACTGACTTGCAGCAAGATTTAATACGCTACGAGGGCATTCACCAGCATCTTCATAGTGCATTAACTACAAGCCATTTACAGTGGTGACAGTCGGGACTTGTAGTAAATGCAGACAGAACTCTGTAGATGTATGATGCGGTTGTTTGGGCAGGGCACCGCACAATCGCACTGTTTTTAAAATGACAGCAGTTGCAGGGAAAGGAGGGCATGGGGAAATGCTCCAACGTAACATGTGACACCCTAAACACAGGTGTGACATGTTACAAAAAGAGAACTTATCCTTTTAAAGCGGAACTAAAATGGAACTATTCTCAATTTCGATCCTGCAGTGCAACATCCCAGAGCTCCCTGCTGGCCACTGACATTTTCGGGCACCTGGTATCCTGATCTCGATCATTGGCTGCTTTCTTTAGCTGGGCAGGGTGCAGAAATTGCATGGGGCACGGCATCCGACACTCCTGGAAGTGTCGAATGCTGAGGAGTCTAATGGAGGCTGCGTACTTCAATGTAGGGAAGGTAGGAGACACGGGCTGCCAGAGAGCCAAGTATAATGACTTCTTTTTTTCAGGGAACAGCTTCCGGTGTTGTTTTTGGCAATGTCTTTTTAGTAGCTTGGGGGTAGATTACAGCTTCTCATGGTTTTATTGTTCCCAATGTCTTTTGTTGGGGTACCTAATGGGATCAGAAAATTAAAGCTTTGCTGAATTTAAACAAACAGATGTCCCTGAACCTGTCAGAATAATCTATAAGAAGGCAAGTAATAATGTACCTCTTTATAAAAAAAAAAAACTTGATTTGGCTCATCTGATTGGTTGATCAAAACTTTTGTATGTAACTACTTCCATTTCTGTAGCATCTATTTTTGTCACCCATTATGTAGATGGAGTTTGATGAAAAGGATCTACGACGGGAAATTAGCTATGCCATTAAGAATATTCATGGTGTGAGGTAAGTGCAGCTATATAGATAGGTGTATCAGATGCTCTGTTTTCTGATTTATTAAGTCCTGCCCCAACATCCACTTTTTAAAAAAAAAATTTTTAATAGACCGTAGAAGGTTTAGAACCTCTTCCAGTTTTTTGTTGCAGTTTGTCCCTTTTGGCAAATGTTCCCTTCCTGGTCCCATGTTAAAATAGCCAGTAATTAAATTTTTTTTTTTCCCCACATATACTGCAAAGGGGCTAGAACCTTTTCCAGGTATCACTATTGTGGGAATTTCCTTCCACTTCTTGATGTTAAGTAGACCGGAAATGAGGGGAGGTCTTCCTAGGATACCAGGAAGGCTTGGAGTTTTTAAATCTACTCCCTCTGGACGTATTTAAAATGAGGCTCTGTTCACATATAGGCGTTTTGAATCGTGGGTGGAATATTTGCAATTCTGCCTGCAATTTCAAACCGCACTCTTAAAATGTGAAATCACTCATCAGCGTGTTCAGGTGCCATTCATTTTAGGGGGACCTAAAAAGGGGGATGTGATTTTGCCACGATTGTCACACTGCAATCGCGCGGCAATGTCACGTAAAAGAGGTTCCAGGACTTCTTTTGGGCGACACGCATCCCACGATTTTGTTTCCGTGATTGCAGTGTGACAATCGTGGCGGAATCACCCTGAATTTTTAGGTGCTATGTGCTTAATGGCACCTGAACATGCTGATGAGCGGTTTCATATTTTAACAGCGTGTTTTGGAATAATGGGCAGAATCGCAGGGATTCCTCCCAGGATTCAAAACGCCATTATGTGAATGGAGCTTGAACCTGTACTCTCTTGGCAGCAGCATATGTAGTAGGCACCATAAAGTGACAGCATGTCCTTTCCCTACTGCCCCCTACCTCCCTTTTTGGCCTTCGTAGTGCTGTGAATAGCAGATACTCCATATTGGATCAAGGCTAAATGGGGCCCCAAGTAGCAGCTTTACACACACTCTATCTTTTGAGTTACATTTATAATGATTGCACAGAGGCCACACCTTTTTTTTTTTTTTTTTTTTTTTTTTTTTTCTTTCTTCTTTAATAACTTTTATTTAAAGAATTCCGGGCAGAATTTTCCCATGCAGAGGGGCTGTGCCAGCACTGCCTGGGTTTAAATGCTCGTTTTTGTCTGGGGGTTTGGAAAGTGGAGAAATACTTACCTAATCCACCAATCTTCCGAGCACAAGACTGGTCCCCGCCATTCCTGCAAAGTCCTGTGCAAATTTTGGCTTTCATAGTCTAAACTTGCAACAATTTCAGTGAGTTCTACTAAAAGAACTCATGTGTGCAGAGCCCTGATGAGACTTTTTAATTCATAATGCTGCATACATAGGTAAACTTGTATGTAGTATTTCAACTTTTGTTTTCATATAGGACGGGTCTGTTTACACCAGATATGGCCTTTGAAGCCATAGTGAAGAAGCAGGTAGTGAAGCTGAAGGAACCGTGTCTGAAATGTGTGGACCTTGTCATCCAGGAACTGATAAATACTGTGCGACAGTGTACAACAAAGGTAGGCACTCTCTGAAGAAGCACATAATCACATTGTGCTGTGAGAAATGTATCTTTTTTTCTTTAGACAGCATATAATACTAGGCCTTATTTATCAAACTTTGTGATGGAGGAAATGGTGCTGGATTAGAATTGAGACAGCCTGTGTATGAGGCTGTTGCTGGTACATCTTAGGCTAGACATCCATCAGCAGATGTTTTGCTAAGGTGAAAGATTCAACAAGTTATCAGGGCAGCTGTCAGTCTTTAAAGCTGATTTACAACTTGTTCAGAAATCGACTGTTAGAAAAAGTTAAAAATGCTCAAAAATGTGCTCCCTGCACAGAAGAGGGGCAAAAGCACTGTTATACTGAAGAGACTGGTGCGCGAAGAATCTGCTGCATCTGACACTTTACTGGAGTGTGTGATTCTTGGCCCCCACAATGTACTGTTTTCTTCAACCCTTGTGTCAGGTGATATATTGGCCAGTGGATGCCCCTTTTGCTCAAAACTGCCCCTTTTGGGTGGAGCTCCGCTTTAAGGATTCGTCCCCGCTCCCCGTTACCAATTGACACTTTCGGGGAGTAGGTACTCTCTCCTATTTCCACTCTGACCGCCCAGGCAATCGGTAGCAGAAGTTCTGCACGGTGGGCAGCGGGCTGTGAAGCTGTCACAGCTGGGTGCCCACAGTTAACATGCTGAAGCTGAGGGCAGAGGATGGCCAGTGAATCCAGCTGCGGTGAGCACACTGCTGGATCGTAGGACAGGTGAGTGACTTTTTTTTTTTTTTTTTTAAAGTCAGCAGCTACAGTTTTTATAGCTGCTGACTTTTTTTGTTTTTTCACAGGCGCATGGAGCTACTCTTTAATGCAGAGGGAATACATTACATAATAGATTACAAGGGTTCATTCTTATACCATTGGGTTATGCTCCACCTCCAGGTTTTTTGGGCACTGGCAAATTGCAAAGCTTAATCCCTAAAATTGCTTCAGTTTTTTGCTACTGTCCCCATGGAATGGACTTGTCTCTTTGATGCACTAAAGAAATGTTTAAAAACCAATTTTTTATTGACTCTCCCAGAACCCCGCCTCCAGGACACACACCAGGCACGCTTTGTAAGTGCTGTGTCCTTTGGACACAGCTGATCACAGATTACAGTAAAGGGCCAATCACAGAGGCTCTATACCATGCTTTGTCTATATCAGCTTTGTCCAATTATAGGTGATCACATTGTAAACAGATTTACTGGTTATCAGCAATCTTTTCCCCACAAGCTGTCAAAGGAAGGGAAAGCCGGTGACTGGCAATTCTGACAGGGAACATTATTTACACTGAGAAACAGGGCACAGATCATCAGTGACCTGATAATCAGTGCAGCCCAATCAGTGCCCATCACTGTCGCCTACGAGTGCCTATCAGTGCATGCAGCCTCATCTGCACACATCAGTGACAAAGGAAAATGACTTATTTGCAAAATTTTTAGAACAGAAATTAAGAAATGTTTTTTTTGTTTTTTAATTTTCAGTCTTTTTTTCTTGTTCAGCAAAAAATAAGAACCCAGCGGTAATTTAAATACTACCAAAAGCAAACTCTATATCAAAAAATGATACATTTCATTTGGGTACAGTGGAGCATGACTGCGCAATTGACATTCAAAGTGCAACAGCACTGAAATGAGAAAACTGGCCTGGGTAGGAAGGGGGTGAAAGTGCCAGGTAGGCAAGTGGTTAATTTCCTTACACAAAATTGGGTGTGTTTTGCGAAGTGGATTTTCAGTTGTCTTTAACTCACACAATAAACCAAGTTATTAAGGATTCACTTTATAAAGTGAGCATGCCCTGATCTGTTAGTAAATGAATCCTATTGACTTACCAGGTAGTGAAATGGAAGCTCCCTTAGCTCTACCCTATTTGGGCTTAATTTGATAACCTACAGAGAACTGTTGACCATCCAGTCCTAGAACCCTTTCCCTTAGCCTGGCTCCAACAAGCTGAATTTTTATTTATTTCAAGCCCCAGCTCATCATTCGTTATTAAATAAAACCCAGTGAGTCAGACTATCATTAAGTTGGCCCCGGTCTTTTACGAGTTACCGTTATGGGAATTATGTGACATAGGTTAGAGACAAGACTTTTGTCTCCTGATTCTATTAGCAAACGGCTAATTGGGAGCAGGAGCTTTTATGACATCATGTGCTATTTGTGGCCTCAACTTAATAAAGTAATAGCTTGAATAATTTCTCAGCTTCATGACTGCGCCAAAAAAGTGCTGTGGTTTTTTTTTTTGTTTTTTTTTTTTAATGCTGGAGAACTGTGCTTACCTGGGCTGCAGAGATGTTAGCTGGTTTAATAACCTGCCATGACACTCTCATTGTTTTATGATGCTGGTTAGCGTGGTCAAAGATTTGAGCCCCTTACACTTCTGCAATGCATAAACCTGTACTCCATATATTTGGCCAATCTAGGTCAGCCCTGTCAGAGAGCATAGCCAGGTCAGTGGCCTGCCTCTTCTCAGCAGTTCGTGTAACTTCATTTTAACACAATAAAAGCTGTTGAGCTATGTTATTGCATGCTCTACAAAACAGCAAATGCAATGTGGTACCTTTTTCTTTGTCTTCAACTCTCCCCCCCAGTCAGCATTACATTTTAAAAAGTCACAACTACTAATAACATAGTTTGTAATTTCTCATTATGCCTGTGTACCAAGAGCAAGCTTTTCAGGCTATAGAAGTCTGAGAATGCAAACACTGCTAAAGCAGGACAACAGAAGGAAATTTTGAATTATCTCAGAAGCATCTCAGACTGATGTCAAGAACACACTGCATTTGCAGAGCAAAGCCTGTGGACACAAGCCCTATCCGCTCACAACCACAATCTGCCTTCTTGCCCACCCACCTTTCAAAGCAGTAAGCGACGGCAGGGCATTTTCTGTTATCTAAAATGATGCGCTGAACACTAGAAGTCAGTGTTGTTTTACCTGGGAGATGTAGTCAGTTACTGTAAATGCTTGATGTTTGCCAATCTCAGTGATGGCAATAGCCCAGTGCTTCTCAGGCAAGCAGCAAACCTCCTTCATGGCCTCTCCACCCACCAGTCAAAGCAGTAAATAATGCCTTTGCATTCTCCGTTACTTAAAATGACAAATTCAGCACAGGAAGACACATACAAATTTTAGGTAATCAAATATTGGTGAAAAAAAGAGCATTTATATGCAGCTTTTTGAGATGGCATATCCTATGTTTAAGACTAAAAATTCCAAAATTGTGTTTTGTACATACAATAAATTGTAAAATCCCTCTCAGAGGAGATTAGAAGTTCAGTGTAGACACATATACTGCAAATTGTGTGTTGTACGTATATTTCCAACATTCTAAAACCACCAAATATTTAAACCGCATAGTCAACACGTTTTTGTGGGCATTTCAGCTTTTCCAGAACAGGGTACATGGTATACAAAGGAATTTGTAAGTAATAGGATTCACAAGAAAGCGTGTTTGGAAAAAGCCAGTTCTGGTATGTCCCCCTTTCTCTACAATAGGGACCACTTCACATAGACAAAAGATTCAAGAAGAATTATTCTAGAAGTCTGATCCCATATGTAGAATAGTATACAATTGGCTAGGACTATGGACATACGCCACATTGTTATAAAAGTACACATTTCTAAAAAACAATTTTTTATTAAAACCATAAATATAAAAGGTGTATTTTGTGTGGGTTTAAAAAAAAAAAAATAATAAATATATATATATATATATATATATATATATATATATATATATATATATATATATGAGTCAGCGCTAATCCAAAAAAGCAGCTAAGCAACCAAAAAATATCAACAAAAGTACAGCGCTAGATAATAAAGTCTGAAAGAAAGTCCACTACAGTCTGTTCATAAAAACGTGCCGATTGACTAGTAGAAAATCAATGGTGGCGGTCCGTGAAGAAAAGCAGAAATGCGCACTCACCAGAAGACAGATGTAAGTAAGCGGTATGCATCAAAGCCCATAGATCCTCAATCAAGGAGAGAACTGGTCCGGTCAAAGTGGGTTGATCTTCCCTTAAGGATGCAGAGCTAATCTAAAGCCGATACAGCTGGATGGACGGAAGGGGTCTCCTGCCTAAAGGGGGGGGGGGGTCTTCCTCCTCTTGGTAAAGGCCTGAATTTTCAGTAAAGGACTCTGCAAAAATGTAATTAGATAAATCTCCAACACGTTTCAATTTTTCAGATGGGGGGACTTGATGGTCAATAACTTGTACATAGAGAACTTTTTTTAAGATACAGCTGAATGCCACAATGTGTCAAAGAAGGAGAGCATCGTCCCAAGGGAGTGTTTTAGCCTTGGGAGCACATGGGGGGGTGCTATAGGTCTCCAAAGCACTGTCCACTAGATGAGGTTTACGAGAGCCCAACATGCCCAATTTCCAACATAGAGGTATATATGGATTTTTTCCATGTAGGGAAAAGATGTTGTCTACAAAAGGTATCTCCAAGAAGGGTTAGCAGTAAAGATTGCAAATCTAAAAGGTTCACTAGCTTAATCGATTCTTCCATTCTAAATCTAAAATCAAAAAGGCTAAGCCACTTGTATCGACTCTAGAATATAAAGAATCTAGGAAACCTGGGCATCTCCTTCCTTGTAGAATAGGCTGAGATTGGTGCAGTAAAGAAAAATGTTACAGGGGGTATTCATTTTTTTTTTTTTTTTTTTTGCAAGACTGTAAATTCACTTTTATGTCCATCATATACCTTTTTAATGTATTTTATTTTTTACCTGTTGTGTTCCTGATTTATCTTCCATCCAACAGATAATGAGCTTGAGGGAAAATAGTGTTTTATTGCTTTCATAAATGGCCTGCATAACCTGTGTTGTGAATAGACTTGAATAGTAGGAAATGAAAAACCAAATGTGGATGTTAGAGGCACATAGAATAAAAATTATAGACCATGTGTAGCAGCTGCGAAGTTCACTAAATATTCATGGCACTACGGGCTAGCCTTTGAAGAGAAACAAAAAGAGA